AAACCTGAATGTGTAAATGACAGTGCTGAAAGAGAAGTGGCCCTTATTTAGGAGTATAATGCCATCATAACAAAGAAAGAATCATTTATATTGCATAACAAATATGTTTTTATATAACACACTACATATTACATCATGTCAGTGCAGTCTAGAACTTCAACCTAACTGAGCAACTTCTAAATATGGCTCAAAATGTATGAAATTTGACATTTAATGTTTATTTGTAATTAGTGGGATTAGTGAGAGCTTGAGAATTTTTAACCTGAAATTTTATCTGCAAATAAAGACCACCCTATCAGAGTTGTCTAAAGGCAAAAGCACTGAACTAATATCATTAATGTTTATGTTAAAGAATAGTATATGTTGGTAAAAGAAAATTTTACATAAAGCTTTGGTCTGAATTATTCAGGGATAGAAAAATTGAGCTTGAAATGGTTAATGATTTATTTCAAATGTGGCAAAATATTTCTATACTCCATTTTGTTTTATATTACACACAAAAATTAACCAAAGAGAGCAAAAATTTGCCTGCTATATTTAATCCAATGCTAAAATGAAGTTATAATTCAAACTGTTATCACAACATTACTGCTGGACATGCTAACTGTACTAAATGTGTGGTAACAGTTTTTCTTGCCCATGAAGTGGCAATAAAATTACTTAATGCACCAGAACTTTTTTATGTAACTTACAGTACTTGTAGCATCCAAATACCAAACATCTCATTCTCCCATAGTACATATATTTATTACGTACAAAACTTAAACATTTTACTTAACTTCTAATTTTCATTTTGAGAGAGAATTCAATTGCTGATGAATTAGTAATCAACATTAATTTCCAATTGATGGTTAAAATTTCTTTGATCCTTACGTGCTATTGGTACTATACATCATTTTAAAGTTCTTTCATCTACAGTTCCATTGCATTCTCAGACGAGATGTTTGAAGAAATACCAGCATTAGGCTTCAGACAATTTTTTATATGCTAATTGACACATGATTCTCACATAATCTTATACACATCGATAAACAATATTAAAGTTTATTAATTCTTTCCTTTGTCTTGAAGAACTTGTCTGTTTTCAACACAGATTTTAAAGCTCTGCTTACCCTAAAATTTGAGGATAGTTTGGTTTCAAAATATTTTTATTTTAATTCTCAAACATAAACTGCCTTAGAACAGTTTTGGAACACCATATCTCAATTTCTTACATATCATTTAAAAACCATTTTGAATAATGATAGACAAAAACCATTTTCACATTTTCCTATTTCTTTGCAGAAATAAGGATAAACCCTATAAAATATTTAGTTGTTGACCCTATATTTAACAGGTATAAAACTAACATGACCATACAATCCTGTGTACATTGGTTAATGATATGTTCCTATTTTTAAACAATCATCAAAATTGTTAATATCTAGATGTAAAAAAGGACAAACTTTAGTTATTTTCTTCAGTTGTAAACTTGTTACAAACATGATGTTTGTTTAAATACATGTTATTTTTTCTTACAAATAACAGAGGTGTTTTTAAGGTACCTATGGTATCTAATAGGTTTTAAAATGCTCTGGACTGTTACTCAGACATTGTTTTTCATGATAACATAAAAGAAAGGTTTACTAGAGTGGGAGCTAAATTTGAGCCCATCATATTTTTAACTGCTGTCAAATTTGAAATGAGATTTATTAACAAAATTTAATAACTCATTAAAAACTGATTTTATTATCCCTTTTACAATTATATCATTTTAAAAACAGAAATGTGTTAAGACTGGAGAATATTTTCAAGATAAAGGACAGATCAACAAACTTCAATTCTTTTACGTTGGTTATTGATACATTTGTTGTCAATGTGGATGTGATTATCTGGGATTGTTAAAATAGCATCTGCAGCTTAATACTGGTAATTCTTCAAACATCTAGTCTAAGAACATGACAGAAATGTTGAGAAAAAGAACTTTGAAATAATATATAGTTTCATCAATGAACAAAATGTAAGGATCAAAGAAACCCGAGACACCAAGAAACTGAAACCAAGGTCAAGTTCTAATTTGATCTTAGTAGTGTTACTTTCTGTAGTATGGTTTCATCACTGAAACTCTACTGTTTCATTGGATAGCTAAATTATGTCCAGTAGTACTATTTGTGAGACTACTCTACATCTGTCACATGAAGACCACCATACACTTCCAGATTTTTACAGTTTCTTTGTTAGCTGCAGGGAGAATGTGAATTATGATAGCAGTTCTGAAGTTTCTACTTTAAAAGGGTCAAAACCTGTGGTAAGTGATGTTTCCATCATTGTGAATGCCACATTTTCAAGATTAGTTTTATTTTAATGTAATTTTTCCTTTTCACTGTAAAGACATGTGAAGTAATTACAAACTTATTACGAAACTTGTTTGTTCCTTCTGGTTAGCTCTATGGGGCCAGATTCTGTTAGAGTAGGTGACTGTGACTTCTTGGTGATAAATATCAACAATAAATGGATAGCACACAATCCACTCATTTTAATAGTTGTATCTAAACTCTAAATAATTATTTTTTCATGTCAAAAGTCCACACAGGCTGATTCGGTTACTTTAGAATCTATTTGACACGACAAAATATTTTTCCTTATTCTGTTTATTATTACTGTACAATGTGCGATAGATTCACTTACATTACCCCGTGGGTTCCCACAGTTGTATCCAGAACTTTAAATAATTGTCTTAAGAGGTCTTAGGGAAGAAGGACCAGTCTGTATATAGAACAACATAAGGTATGGTAGAAGATCCTGGTAACATTAATAGCATTAGAAGGGCACTCAGTAGAATGCATACCTCTCACAGCATTGATCATATTCGGCCCTCAAAAAATATGAAAATGTGTCTGCTGTCTGTCATTATCAATGGACACGGACCATTTTTGGCAGGACAATGAGGAATAATATTCTATATATTTTCAGCAAAATCCTATCATTTTTGACTGAGTTATAGTGCACAAATAGTGTGAAAAATCAGTCCCCGTGTATATAGTTATGGATTTTTTTATTTTCTGTGACCTTGCTTTGATACTCCAAAAATTAATCACTTCTAAATTGGGTCATAGTCTAAATGTATACCAACTTTCATCCAAATCTATTCAACCATTTGTGAGAATTCTTGCTGACACACACGGGGTGGAAACATAACCTTCTTCACTTCGGTGATGGAGATAATAAAATCTGACTGATGACATTCACAAGGTAGGAGAAAAGGAAACGTGTAATATACCACATACCTAATTAACTAGCTGTAAAAAAAAGATGTAGAATGTGACAGAAGGTGCTGGAGAAAGTGAATCCAAATTTTTCTCCTTGATTGTATGCATCCTCAGAAACATTGTCAAGTTGAAAATAAGAAGAAATCACTAGCTGAACACAGGAATCTACATCCATGCAAATTAAGGCCTGCATCTCCTCAGCAGATAAAGTCAAACCTGAAGTCATACCAGAAGCATTGTCTACTGTAACTGGAACTTCCATTGTCAATAATAAATCATAACAATAACAATCATAAATGGTAATCACATGCAAAAAAACACATCTAACAATGTTGTGCCAATCGAGAAAGTGAGAACCGAGCAGGAAAATCAGAGGGGGCTAGACACACCAATATAGGTGGCACAATACTATTGGTGGAGGTAGTCACATACTATATACATGTTCAAAAGTGGGACAAAATTTGTGGATATACACTAGTGAGCTGAGCATTAAAATTCTTCAGCAATGCTGACAGGGCAGAAAGAAGATCAAGATAGTTTTGTGCAAGACATGGTAAGACTGTATTGGAATATAAGTTTTGTCAGCTGTAATGGTGCTTTCAAATGAAACCAAATTAATTGGCTATGACCTCAATTGAACATATATTGTCCCACCTGAAAGCATAGACTTACCCCAAAACCCTATTATAAATTCTACTGACGCCAGTTCGCGTATATTTGAAGTTACTATATTGAAAGTATAAATATACTTATATTGCTCGTAATGTATAACATACTCATTATTTTCTTAATTTCAACATCATTAATCAATTGACTAATTTTCAGGATTGATACTTGAAACTTTCGGTAATTAGTGAAACTCCATAATTATAAAATTGAGGAAAAACATATGATTTGTTTCAGAAATATATCATTTATTCACGACCTGATGATGCCTTTACTGGTGAAACCATGGTCATGAATAAATGATGTATTTGTAAAACATACAATTGTCTTGTTTTTCATCAATTCTGTAATTTTCAGAAGTTATCATTAACTGAAATAGAGAGAAAACTAGTATTGAAAGTAATCAGATCATTTTATATCAGTGTCACATAATATGATACAGAAGATATGAAAGTGATCAGATGATCTTATACCAGTGTCACATAATCTGGTATTGAAGATATAAAATAAACAGATGATCTTATACCAGTGTCACATAATCTGGTATTGAAGATATAAAAGTAAACAGATGATCTTGTACTATTGTCACATAATCTGGTATTGAAGATATAAAAGTAAACAGATGATCTTAAACCAGTGTCACATAATCTGGTATTGAAAATATAAAATAAACAGATGATCTTGTACTATTGTCACATAATCTGGTATTGAAGATATAAAAGTAAACAGATGATCTTATACTATTGTCACATAATCTGGTAATGAAAATATAAAATAAACAGATGATCTTGTACTATTGTCACATAATCTGGTATTGAAGATATAAAAATAAACAGATGATCTTGTACACATAATCTGTTGCTATACTATGTTCTTAACGTCTTGAAGTAGGGAAAGTTAACAACAAAGAATCACACATACATACTACTTATCAAATATAATAATATTTATTTGTGAGGGTGGTTTTTTTTTAAACCTATTGAGAATAATGTCTACTATAAATTAGATGGCCACACAAATTGTTAGCCATTTTTATTGTATAGCTAGATATTTGATATGTAATAATTAGAGAAACATGTAACAAACCTGATCTCGGGAAAACATACTGGCTTTAAGAATGTGCTGTCCCTGTAGTCCATGTTGTATTTGAGGAAGTTTTACTTTCACAGGAAGTGGTAAGATCCCTGAACCTGATGACGGTTGGGTATCTTGTACCAAACTTTCATATCTGCGATGTACATGAGTTCTTCCTTCATCAACATGATGGGTGATGTGGCGGAACCTTTCTGCCATTCCCAACTCCTGGAACATCTGACTGTACATCTCTGAAAACAGTTTTGTCTGATGCAGTCTAATCACCACATTCATTGCTGAATTGTAATCTTACCATGTAAAATTTATTGGCACATAAAGCTGAATACTTTAACAACTGTTAAATATACAGAACCAATATGAACCAAATCCTTAAAGTAATCAGCTTAACCCTATCGCCCTGGGTATCCTTTAGTACAGAATGTCTTACATTCAAAATTGTATTAAACTACTTTTTGTTTATGTTATACCAACTAGAATAACATAAAATCTTAGCTAATAATCCATACATTAATAGTATACAAGTTTTAAGTTCATAATTATACAAGGAAATATTTAAAAAATCCTGAATTTCCACTAGTGTGACCCAAGTGACACATTTTCTCTATTTCATCCACCACCCCTCAAAAAACTATATAATTAAACGTAAAATACTCTATAAAATCGTTATTGCTCAAACAATAGTCTTCAATTTTGTTTGGTTTCACATCCTCTCTTTCACAATTTGTTGATAGTTTTCTCTTATATTTTATTATATATTACCTATAACCAACAGAAAGTCAAGGTTTTCATCTATCAAATGACGTATTGTATAACATTGCATTCTGAATAGAATTTCACCAATTTCACTCACAGTACAAGATTCGTTCCCATGGGAAAGTTAATGACTAGCTTGGATGAATTTGTAAAGGCTCGTGTCACACAGTTAGAAAGACAGAAACATTTTGATAGTTAAAGGAGTTTGTCTACTTGTTGCATGTTATTAATCTATATTCTTTGGTGCATTATTTAATTAAATAAAAATTATGAAGTGTATTACTATCATTACCATGAAAAAATCAGGCTTAACTGTCCTCGACAATTGAGGGAAAGACAAAAGAAAATTGGGTAAGTACTTTATTTCTTGTTTTTCATATTTATTCTTTATTTATTATTATAAAAGTAACTAAAATATAAAAATACGGATCTATTTAAGTTATTTACTAGGTAACATAAAGAAAAAAATGGGTAATTTAGTTTTATTTTTTTTGGTGGTTACAAGGTCTGTCAAATTGACCGATTCTATTTTGAGATAGGGTAGAGAAAATGAAAGATAAACCAAAAGGTTTTACTGAAAAAAAAAACCAAAAAACTTTTGAAATGCATTCAGGAGGTTTTATGGATTACACAAAGGACTTTAATCGAGTACAAAGAGGTCAAATGGTCGGTCAAATTGACATTTGAGCCAGGTATATCTTTGCCAGGAACATCGATATGATCAGGAGGACCAGACATGGTGGATCATAAAGTGAGCACATCCACATGGGAAAGGATAGTTTAGCAATGTAATCTTAAACAGAAATAAGAATCACTCAATCCCACAATGGAAAGTAGGCAAGCGAGGATGTGTACCATGGTGTAGAGTGGCTAGGGCATGATAGACGGTACTCGGTTAGTTAACTACATCCAAAACCTCACTCGCTGGGTACTGACATCCTTGCAAGAGTCCCAGAGTCAAGAGGGTACCTAACATTTGACTCCAAGATTTCACAGGGTAGCCTAATGCTAGGGATCCAGGAATGTATCATCCAGAATCCGAGGGAAGTCCATTGCATGCACTCAACCCCCACAACCATGAAACCAGCCTGAAACAATCCCAGGTCAGTAACAACCTTGTCACCCAATGAGGGAAAACCCAGGACAGAAAGAGAAACAGGCCACGTAGACCTTCTGTGATCCACAACACAGAAGACAAGTTGAGAGGGGAAGATGGACAAACTGAAACCTGTGTGAGGACTTATGTGATTGGTTCACTCGATCTCCATAACCTCACTCACGCGAGGGAAGGAGGAAAGCATCCAATCAGAGGGGTGAACTGCATTTGGGTGTCTCAACTGCAGGTATTAGTTACTCATCCAGAGGATCTTGTAACTCCTTCTCCACTGGCAGAACACCACTGTCCTACTCTGAACTGAATGGTTATAGCCATCTTTGTGTAATCCATCCAGCAGGTTGCTTCCATGGCTTGGAACTGGTAAGTGGTAAGGACTCCTGTGCTCCACTGGAAGAAAGAGGGGAAAGTGCAGTAAAGAGTCCAGAGGGACTGCAACACCCGAGACAGTGCAATGGCTGATCACAAACACCTATTTTTAAAAGCAGACCACACTGATTTATTCTTCTAGGCATGGCAGGGATGGGCATCAATCCCCTACTGCTTTACCCATGCCATCCATGGATGGTATGGTCCGGAACAGGCATATTATGACAAAGAATTTACACTCTAGTGATATTTGTGAAACACCCGATCTCAAGGGGGAGCATACATAGCCATGGAAAATGTATAAGAATCAACATGGCTCCAGTGCAGATTTGATTGCAAGATGTCTGCAAATGGTTATAGCCGTCTAAGTGGAACCCATTCTGAGTACAGACAGAATACCTGCTCAAGCACCATACGCCACAGAATACGATTCAAAGTGAAGCTGAACCAGGGGCCACTGAAAGAAAAGAAAGAATTAGTATGGACTTAACTCTTGTCACAGCCATGCCAAAGTCTGTAGAATAGCCACAGGTGGCAGGCAGTACCCTGAGATAGCAGAAACAGCGATGTGGTATAGGTAGTGGGAGATGAACGTGTATGGAGTCATCCACATGCCCAATCGTAGAATCTCTTCCAATGGCCAATGAAGAGGAGAGGCACGGGAGAAGGTAAGGTGGTGGATTTGATGTGAGGAAACATGAAAGAGATCATGCTGGGAAGGAGACAAGGAGGAATAGGCCAATTGGATCAAATGTTAAACCCAATTGATCAGCGTAACCGGAGAAAGAACACAGGAAAAGAAAGGTTGCCAAGAGATAAAAAGGCAGGAATGAGGACCCCAGAAGGAAGCCGTGTAATATAATAACAGAGGGCACAGACAGGACAGAGGAGTCTATCCAGATCAGAATGAGGGTAGTGATGAGATATAGAGGATAGGTAGATAGGGGAAAAGGATGACTGACCTTCTTGAGCCGCAAAAGTCTTAGGAAGGAAATCACGATCTAGATAAAGGATAAGGTAGGAGGAGTACTACAAGGTCCTGGTAATGTTGAAGATGAAAATATCCAACCTACGATGCTCGCAGACTAGAAGGAGGAGGAAAAAGGGCTTTAAAGAGAGGTGAAAGAGGGAACACATAGACAGAGAATCGAATGGAGGTAAAGTAAGGGTGTGAAGGACCACATTAATGTACCAGTCCGGGAGCACTGGATGCCTTGGCGGCCAAAGGACACAAGAAGGAACAACTCAACATGGAAAGGACAGAGGAAGCAAAGACCACGCAGAAATGGAAAAAACGGAAGGTATGAGATAACGCCAACCGAAACCACCAAATAGAGGACACTGAAGAACCCCTCTCAAAGAGCCATGTGAGAAACTCAAAGTTACAGGCAACTATTGGGTGAGAAGCCTGGAAACCCCGAGTCAATGTCCAGGAGTGATAAACACTCAATTTGCATTGATAAACGGCTAAAGAAGAAGGGCAAATGGAATGGGCTATATGCCAAGGACCTGACAAAAGCCTGGCGTGAATATGGAGGACGGATGGTGTGGAATGGAGCACTGGTGACTGGGGTTAATGAAGCAAGTCGGGACAGAAGGGAAGAGAAAACCTGCAGTTGGAGAAACTGAGGAAACCAAGGTTGAGCAGGCCAATAAGGAACAATTAGAAGGACTGGGCATGGATTGGCATGGATGAGAGAGACCACCCGATGAAGTAAATGGATAGGAGGGTAAACCAAGGTAATTTGTGACTGAGGGTGTTGGCAAAGGCATTGATATGGGGCATAACCAGATGCAGATGAGCCACCAAAAACGGTAGGATGCAGATTGAAAGCACATGGTACACAGGGATCTGGACCTGGTGCCACCTTGGTGATTGATATAAGCTACCACAATATAATTGTTGAAATGGATCATAACCAGCTGGTGGCTGGCAAGAGAAAGAAAATGATCCAATACCTGACAAACAGCCAGGAGTTCGTGAACATTGATGTGAAGAGAACTCTTCTCCACAGACCAATAACCCAAAACCTCTTGGTGATCCAACCAGGCACCCCAGCCCTGAAGGGATGCATCTGTGAACAGATGTAAATCTGGCTGCAGAGAAGGAAGCAGGACCCCGCTAACATGTTGGTCCAGTTCAACCACCAATGGGGATCATCTACATGGGATGAGGGAAGGGATGCAGAAGTATCCAAGGGATCCCAGGCCAGGTTCCATTGATCGTGAAGGACCCTTTGATGAAACTGCATATGGGCCCTTGTGAGCTGTAAGTGAGGGAACAGATAGGGCTTTCTGAATGGACCATTCAATAGAATGAAGCCAGAGAGGAGAAGGTTGAGCCCGACTGAGATGTGTTGAAAAAAATGGTCAAATGTATAAGGTATTGGGTGGAACAAACGAAAGCCTTCTCCAATTTGACCAACCAGCCCACCCACGCCAAGAGCTGATGAGTGTGACAGGGTGATTCCCATTTGGAATGAGGATGAAGAAGCCAGTCGTCCATATAAACACAGAAGTTGCAATTCCATGGCATGAACATGTTGAGCAAAAGAGTGGACCACACGACAAAACATTTATGGTGCTGAGGCTAGGCCAAAAGGTATGGTGCAAACCTGGTACACAACCCCAGATGGACAAACCGAATATATGGACAGGAACTCTCTGCCACAAGAATGTGTAGTTAAGCATTGAAATGTCCACCTTGGTCATCCAAAGGCCTGGAGAAAATGCCCACCAAAGAGAAAGGTATGTCTCCATGGTAAAGTGAGGAGTGTGAACATACTGATTGAGATGGGATCAATCAATGACAGGGTGCCAGTCCCCAGTCTTCTTGGGAACCACAAACAGGCGGGAGTAAAACCCCATGAACTTGGTGGAGTGGGTTTGATAGCCTGTTGTGTGATGAGGTCCTGAACTACCTCAGACAGATGCTGGCGTTTCGAGGGATCCCGAGGAGAAGGGAAGGGAACAGGAACACTAGATAATGGAGGAAGGGAGAGAAAGGGGATAATGTATCCCTTGGAGAACCCACACATCGGCAAATAAAGGTCTCCACAGATGAACGAAATTCAAAAGATGAGCCCCCCACTGGGGGACATGATTTGATGCCATGCTCAGTCCAGACTTCAACATACGAGCTACCAAGTTATAAGGGTAGAATGTTGATGGGCTGAGGTTAATCTTGGGAGAGTACCTTATCGGAAACTATCTGCTGTTTCATGGGATAGTTGTAATGTGTTTTATTTATTTTCTGTTTGTGGGACTGCTGTATGACTGTCACATGGAGCAGAAACATTTCAAAAATTGTTGTGATCCAATTTTCTGATTGGTCAGCTACAACAAATTTCATTTCTAATGTGAAAGAGAGGCAAGATGCACTGTGGAAGTTTGCTGGTCGTGTATGTATCCTTCCTCTTAGTTGCACGTCAAAAACAATCACAGGCTTACTTCCAAACAAGGATTATTTTAATTTTCTTTTATTTAAATACAATTTATCTACTTATTTAACTTTGAACTTTCTACAGTCCTACAATTATACAGATCAGTTAAATGTGTGACTAAATTCCACTCCAAGTCTTCTCTCACTTCTCTACAAGTCAATACATGTCTTCCTAAGTACTAGAGCCACAAATCACCAGTTATTATGAAAATCAGATAATTGTGCTTTAGTTTTATCTTTAGAAATACTCTATTGTAATTTATTTTAAAAAACTTGAACGTATTATTCCTAGTTTCCTTAAAAACACCATTTTTATTCCAGATAGCATTTAAAATAAAGTTTGAGAAATAAAAATTACAGTATTGAAAGAAGTGGTTGTGAAAAAAACAAATGAATTACCAGAAGCAAGATTCTTGAAGCTATCCTTATGAACAGAAGTGGTTCCATTTACTAAATGGAGGGCATCTCCTACGGGAGGTTGATGAGAAGGTACATGTTCTGAAGGCAAAACGGGTGTGTCAAGAGGGACTGCTAGTGGAATGGGTGTTGTTCTTCCTGAAGCAGAATGTGAACCTACAACCTACAATTTTATAAAAACATTTTGGAAATCTTATCTAGATAAGAAAGATCTTTCAAATGTGTTTGTTATAAAATCTTTAAATAATGCATATATATATTTTCCACTATACTTGTTTACTGACAAAAATCTTTAAATAATCTTTTAAAAAAAAAACATTCTTCAAACTTGATTGAATTATAGGAAGAATTTTTTAATCTAAAGAATCTTTTTATTTCTGCATAAAAACCCTTCTGTTCAAAGATTGCCACCTGATGAGATCAAGTAAACCTAGCAAAACATTTTTTTAAAGAGGTTTTTAAACATAGTTACTTGTTTACCTTTAAATAAAAACTACTCTTCAAACTCATATTTTCTCAAACTCTAGAAAATAATGTTTAAAATAAAAAATATCCTTCAACTTTGTTATCAAAGCCTTGTGAAATGTTTATAGAGCATAAAATATGCAAGTTCCTAAAACTAACAATTTACCATAAGTAATTACAAAATGAGTAACTGAATTTATTCCACTTTAAAATAATAATGAAGAAATCATATTCGCCCCATGTCCTAGGTAACTCACACACTTGTACGTTACCTAAAGACTTCATGACTTTAAAATATTTCTGAAGAGATAATATTCCAAACAACATACATTTGTACACTACCTACACCTTAAAATATTCATGAAGATAATATTTTGAACCACATCCAAAGTAAAACACACACTTTTACACTACCTAAAAACTTCATGACTTTAAAATATTCAGGAACAGATAGTACTTGGAATACACTCGATACACTAATTAAACTGCAACGTCATGATAATTTGATGAATTTTAAAAAAATGTAGAAAATAATCTTGAATATGGATGAATTATCTCTTCTTAAAACAAATATTAATTTCATCAATTAAATAAGAACTTTAAAAATCAATCAATACTTTTTAAATCTTTGGTGCTATTAGCTTATACACAAAAATTATTAATATTAAAATATTTTAACTTTAATAAAGATTTTCAAGTATAAAGGTACACAAACAATGAAAATAATGAATAAAAACCTTTTGTGAGGGCATTGCTTGCTGGGATCCAGGAGTAAGGTTTATATGTGGGCGTTCTACATCAGGTAGCATTTGGCTTAAGATATTCTCTCCATAGCCAGGAGGCACCAGTAACTAAGATATTGATAAAAAAGACACTTAAATTTATAAATTTCAAGTCTTTATTGAATAATTAGTAAAGGTTTTGAAAACAAACGATCTTGTATAAGGTTTGCTAGGTACAAATCACACATCACTTCTAATACTTTTAACTTAGATAATGCTTGAAAGATGTTTTTTTGCAAACTGAAACACAAAATCACAATGTTACTCTTAACAGCTTAAAACCAATGTAGTTTACAAAATACATGATTATAATGTTTCCAGTTTCTTATCATGGAACTACTGTTACCCTACCTATGAAAGACCAACACATTAAAATATTGAAAATTGTGACATGAATAAAGCTAATAATGTTGCAGCAACAAAAGCTGAATTAAAATTATAGTAGTGTTAGATATGCATGACTGTTTGATTTAATGAGAGCATCATGATTTAGCTAGTTTATACAGTGAGAATGTCATATTAGTTCTTTTTAGAAGTGATATTTTATGGTACATTTGCTTACAAACATGTTTACAAATCATATGTTGTGTAGTTCAGTTATGAATTAGCATGTGTTTACTATAGTGAGATTATAGCGTCATGTTGCTAGACCTTTCTGAGTTTCTTATTGGTTTGAGTATTAGTGCATTAGAATATCTCATACTGCGTGGAATGTTTTAGACTTCTGTTGGAATATAACTACATGTCAAAAAATTATTAATGAGTTCTAGATCTAGACTGCGTGATCATGAGTTTATTGATAAAGAGTATGTAGTGGCAATTTTTAAAGTGAAATTATCACAGTTTGCATTGTAACAATGGAGTAGAGATGAATAATTCATCTTTTCAATTATGTTCTAAAGTAACTGAACCAGCCTGCATAGACTTTGACAAAAATGAGACAATTATTTAAAGCTCTGGAGACAACTGTGGTAACCAACAGTGTAATAAACATTTGTATATATGTATGATTTATTTTTAATATACTATTTCAAAACAAGTGGACTGTGCTGCTATTTCTTTATAGTTGAAATTTATTGCCAACAAGTCTCAGATATCTACTGTAAATAATCCGGCCTTATAAAACTTGAGATGTAGTAACAGTGTTGAAAATTGTGATGTAAATAAAGATAACAATGTGCAGCAAGTATAATGTGAACAAAGATGATGGGAGTAAAAGTAAAAGATGGCAAGATGATAGGAGTAACAGTGAATGATGGCAAGATGATGGAACTAACAGTGAAAGATGGCAAAATGATGGAAGTAATAGTGAAAGATGGCAGCTTATTAAATGTAGCAAATGCAATAAAAACCAAAAACACCAAAAAATAATGACGCAAGAAAATCAAAAGATAAGAAAATAGTATTTAAAAAAGAAATTCTCACCCACTTCATCTGGTAATATTTCAATTTCACTTTGAAAGTCTTTTTTGTTGGACATCAATCTATGAACTTTGAAATCTAATAATTCAAAGCTTTTAAGTGTGTGTGTGTGTGTTTCACAGTCCAAATATTTTCCCAGAAATGAATGAACAACAAAAGAAAGCAAGATTGACAGATAAGTTAAAAAATACAAACTACAAAAACAGCTACTGATCCCAATAGAACTAAACAAGCACTATGTCATGTCTGGTTTTGGTATAGGGGCTGAATTCTTTATAGTAGGTGTCTCTGACTTGTTGGTGATAAATGTCAATGATTAATGGACAGCACA